ACTATCTGGCTTGTTGTCCTAGTAGTCTAGGTTGCTTTATAAAGCTCTATAAGTTCTAGTGATCACTCAGAACCTCGATTATATATATAGCTCCTTTAATATAGTGCCTCTAATGCTTAAAAGACTCGACGATAGCTATTATCTCTTGATCGGGAGTACTATAATTTAATTCTAGACCCCGGAATCCTCGGGACCAAAAGGCAATTAGATACTACTTTCCTTTAGTATCTTATTAGGAGAGGATCCCTGCTATAGCCTTCTTAGACGCGTCTATTTTAACCCGAAGTTTGTATATAGGGTTATAGTATTAAAGGAGAGGCGTTTTCTAAAAGGCGTCGATAAGAGTAAGAAACGTAATCGTTTCCTTACTCCCGAGATATACTTAACCGGGCTTCTTGCCGTCTTTGCTCCCTTTAAGTAAGGCTATTAATAGTTATACTATCCTAGAAAATCCGTAGATAAACCGGCGATAGAAATTATAGAACCCGATAAAGACTTAAACTTCTCGGTATATCGTGGGTTCCTTTTATGTTATAATTATCTCGACCCGCTTTAGGTCTATAGCGACTCCTTGGGTATTAACTAGGAATCCTAAAAAATCGACCTCTTCCTTATAGAAAGTATACTTCGATAGTTTAACGAAGAGCTTAACCTTCTGGAGCCTTTCGAGCACCTGTCGTAGGTACTGCGTGTGTTCTTCCTTGGTTTTAGAAAAGATTAAGATATTATCTAAGTATACTATATATATAGTGTCTAATAGAGATCTAAGTGTACTATAGATATACTCTTAGAATGTTATAGGCGTATTAGTAAGACCGAAAGGTATTACACGGTATTCGTAATAACCGTACCGCGTGCGGAATGCTGTTTTCTATTCGTCTCCTATTTTGATTCGGATGCGATAATACGTATCTTTAATATTAATCTTAGAAAAATACCGAGAACCCCCCACTCGATCTATAATCTCTATAATTAGTAGTAGCGGATATCGGTTCTTTATAGTGACTTTATTTAAGCCCCTATAGTCCACGTAAAGGCGTAGACTTCCGTCCTTCTTTGGTATAAAGAGGATTAGGGCGCTTGTAAGACTTTTCGAAGACTGAATAATACTGTCTGTAAGAGCTTTTTATAAGTATTCCTTTAGTTCTTGAAGCTCCCTAGGCGATAATAGGTATATTAGCCTAAACGGAGGTGATTCGCCTTTAATAAGGTTAATAATGTGATCTAAAGCTCGATATCGGGGGAGAATAGTCTTTTTATCGAGCGTGAATACGTCTAAAAAGTTATATAGCTTAATAGGGACTTGTTTAGCCTTTTGTGGTATAGAAGCTTTAGATTCTTATTCTTTTTCTCCTGGAAGAGGTAATATCTCTTCTACGGGGTAAACTACGTAAATTCGTGCGCCCTGGCGGCGATTCTTCTTTACTGTCCCTTATAGGATTATAGGGATTTGCTAAAAATCGTACTCGAACTATTACTATTTCCGGAGGCAATTAATATATATCCGCTCGTCTTCTAGTGCCGGTATTCTAAGGAGTATAGGGAATACTTGATCGGCGGCTCTTGGGCGTCGAATTCCTATGTAGTATCGTGTAAAGGTACGGGTTATTCCACGATCATCGGTGCTAGTAAGAGGTACGATCTAAACGCTATTATGTTCTAAACCCCGATATACTGTATTATATAATAGCGGGGATGTTAGTGGCGACGGTTGGAGTTTCTTCTCTCGTGCGTAGGCGGAACTGATGATATCGTAAGCGGTATTAGTATCGAGCTCAGCTCGCGTTTCCTTATCACGTTCCCTATAAAGCATGACCGTGGCCTATATACTTCGGGCCGTTCTTACTTATATGCCTGCCCTTCCGACCCGGGCTGGCCCCTCCTAGGTCGGCTGGCTTTTCCTAGCCTGCCTATCCTTAGCTTATTAGGACATGCGTTTGCGAGGTGCTCAGTACTCTGGCACTTAAAGCACTATAATGGCTTGCCCTTAATAACTGGGTTACTATTTTGGCGGGGTGGTTTAGTGGAACCACTTATACTTGGGGCCCGCGGACCCCCCGCGTCGGGTACGATTGGCCTCCGCCCCGTATTCCAGTTAGGCTTCTGCCGCTTTGCAGGCGGCGCGCGGGCGTTAGTCGTGGGCGCTGTAGGTCTCTTCCGCCTTTGTGCTGTAAATATGTCCTATACGCGTTCAGCGATAGCGATAATATCTTCGCGGACAGTAGGTAACTTGCTTCCCTGTATATAAATATAATTACGTAATTCAGGCTATAGCTTTATAAAGTAATAGAAAGCCCGGTCTACTTTAGGCTTCTATTCGAAGTGTTGCTCTAGCGAATTAAGGTAGATATAGAACTCTCGGGGGGATTGTGTATCTCGTTACTAGGTACTCTTAAGCTATGCTATTAATAATAGCTTGCGATTTACCGCGTCTTTTATAAGACTTAAAGTCCACTCCTCGAAGGCAGGCTAGTTTCCCTATAGCGCTTCCTTATCAGCTTCGGTTCGTTATTCTCCCACGTGCCTTTCCTAGCGGGTTCGACACGTCTGGTGTATTTTATCGAGAGCTTTTAGGATCTTATTTTTATCGGTGCTATACCGCGTCTTTGCTCCACGGAAAGCCCGTCGTAAATCCAGTAACTAGTTATCTCGGGCTTTAAAGGACGAAGAGAGAGTAAGTTATATAAAATTAGTAATCTTTACTTCCTTATCTAAAGCTTTGATATTTACTGCTCCTCTAAAGTGTCCCTGTGATTGTGGTATTATATGGGCTTGTCGGAGGCGTATTTGTTCTTATTTGAGCTTTATAATATCTTTTCGTAGCTGATTCTCCTCCTGGAGTCGCTCTTGCTATGCTCGGAGATCTTATAATCGACCCCCTGGACTTAAGTCTGGTATAGAAGATAATGCTGGAGTATTTGGTTGTACTTAGGAATCCGGGAAATATTCCGGATAATCCGGAACTTAGGCTTCTGCTTCTGTAGGTTTACTCTATAGATCCTGCTCTTATTCTTATACTGGTTCTTGTTATAACGGCGATTCGGGCCCGTTAGATATAGAATTTTCGGAAGCTTCGGGAGGGAGGAACTCTTAAGCGAGTTCCTCGCCTTCGCTATCTAAAGAGTTTGATATTCTCTCCCTAGGTAATCTTTATTAAGAAGTTTGAGAAATTATAATAATAGTAGGATAGATTAGGTAGGGAGAGAAGGTATAGGTAGTATATTCATAAAACTCAAACTTACTTCTCCCTCTATAGGTAGAAGTAAGTATATTATACCTAAAGCGCTCGGAAGATCCGGAGGTTAGGTGTAATACTAATGAATCGGGTACGTATTATTGATGCTGACATGGCGGTACGCCATAGCATCCGAGGCCTCCGTGATTCCTTGTGACTGCACCGCTGACTTCCTTCGGCCACGGTGTTACATATAGATACTATACTTCGCCTTTATATTATATATAAGCTTAAACCACGCGCGAATAAGCTCTAGATCTTCGTAAAGGGCTCTCTAAAAGTTATATACGCGATTAAAATATATCTTAAGTTCTAGTTATTACTTAACGAGCTTCTCGGCCTAATACTTACTAACGCGTCCTTTATCGCGTCCCGCGAGTAATAAATTAGCTATATCTTTAATACTAGCGTATCGGGGCGCGAATCCTCGCGTATCTAGGTCTAATATATATCGAATAACTACTTACTCTTTAGTAACTATTAATCGATAAGCTATATAATATAACTCGAGCTTTAATACTCGTTTGTTTATCCTATAGCGGAGCATAACTTCGGGTATTCTATAGATTACTATAGCTTTCTAATAGCTAAGTCTTTTATCTTACCGAATAGCTTTAATTACTAAGATAATCTAGCTTTTTTTATATAAGGTTGCTATTATTGGTTATAGAGGAATACTATATATAAGATAGAAATATACGACGCGTGGAAAAGTACGTCGGTTAGGGGTATATGTCGCTTAGGGGTGGACCACGTTACTTAGAATTCTATTTATAACAAAAATTGTAATATAACTTACTTATATAATAATAAAGATTACTTTTTTAATTAATTTCGTGAAAAGGTTACTATAAAGTGATATAGCGAACACTAGTGTAAATAAACTATAAAAGCCCTGGAGCTGGTTTACCTTATAGTGAAGTTACTTTTACTAATATTTAATTTCAAAATATAGAGAAAAAACCTATATAGCGGGCTAGGCTCTCTTGGAATATTAGACTACGAGATAATAACTAGACTTTGTAAGAAAGGCTACTATCCTACCTCTTAGTAAATGTTTTCTTTACCCTAAAGTAGAAAGCCGAGCCCGGAAGTATATATATTTTTCTTCCCGCAACTATCCAAGTGTAATAGATAGTACTAGTATTAAAACCCCACTTACTTAAACCTTTGTTTTAATTTTTATTGTTTCAAACCGAACTTAAGAAAGCTGTCTCTCTATGCTTGTTGTACCGAAAGGGCCGGTTATCATGACTCGTTAGCGGCGAACGCCTCATGACACATTTTCCCCACGGGGACCATACCCTTTCTTGGCTCCCCAAATTCCCCATCCTTCGTTACCAGAATTCTTAGTAGAAACCCTTCGGTAAAGCCGTCCCGACTAACGCGTCGTGGTCTGGACGCACGCGTATGGTTTTAGGTTTCCTACAGTTTGCTACCTTGTCCAGTCCTCCCTATGCTCGATAGCTCACCTTTTCCACATCTCCCCTCTTGATCCACCTTCCTCCCTTGTAACTCAAAATTCCTGAATTGGCAGGGCGTGTGTCTCTATAAATTATCCCCTTCCCCGTGTACATTCAAAATCTATGCTCTAAGAGGTCTTGCCGCCGCGACATCCTGCGTTGTTCCTCTCCGCTTACTATCTGTTACACCTGACCATCATCACGACGTACAAGCAATCAAGAACCACTTTCGCATTAGGAACTAACTAGCTTTCCTCGTCATGTCTGACAAGAACGAAGTGACCGTATTGCGAAACGAAACAATGGGCGCCCAGTCTGACAGCGACCGCGCCCATCGCGACGCTCTTGACCACGCACCTGGTGTCTCCGGCTTCGCTGCCGACGAAGAGACTCTTCCCATGAGCTACTTCTACAGTCCTGCATTTATTGGCACAGTTCTGGCGACTGGTCTCGGTCTGGCGGCTGCCGTGGGAGGCTTCGGCCTCGCAGCCCCAAATCTGGGTGTGATTAACTCGGACATTGGCCCCTCGGACAACCTTGCATGGGTGTCTCTTGTTTATACACTCACTCTTGCTGTTTGCCTTCTGCTTGTGGGCAGGTTGAGCGATCTGTTCGGGAGACGGGTAAGACACCCTGTCCAGGAAAATCCTGTGGATGATGTGGCACTGATCACGAGAACCTCACAGTACTTCTTCATCGGCGCTGCTGCCTTGGCCCTTGTTGGCTGTATCATCTGTGCCGTTGCAAAGAATGTCAACGGCTTGATTGGAGGTACCGCACTCATTGGCATTGCCGCCTCTGGGCAACAGTCGTTCTCCTTTATTACAGGAGAGCTGGTCCCTATGAAGGTGAGACTTAAGAACTATATCTCGCCCAGGTCAACTCTGGCTGGGCAGTCAAGCACCGCTAATTTGTTGCTTCTAGCACCGTTTCGCGATGAACGCGCTGATGTATGTCTTCTGCATCCCCTTTGCGGCTTTCGGCCCCGCTATCTCGAAATCGCTTGTGCTGCACACTGAGGCCGGTTGGCGATGGTGCTACTATATAATGATCATCATCAACTTTGTCTCTGGACTTCTCTTCACCCTATTCTATTTCCCACCCACTTTTGAACAGAAATTCACTGGACGCAGCAAGCTTCAACAGCTGAAGAAGGTTGACTATGTCGGCATCGTTCTGTTCGCCGCGGGTCTGTTCGTCTTCCTGCTTGGTCTCTCTTGGGGCGGTCAACAGTACCCATGGGCCTCTGCTGAGGTCATTGCAACCATGGTTATCGGCTTTTTGGCCCTGGTCGCCTTCGCTTGTTGGGAAACATTCGCAAAGCTGGATGAGCCTCTGCTGCCTATGCACCTCTTCAAAAACTTCAAGTGGGTAGTCGCATGCGTGCTGCTGGGTTTGGGAGCCAGCATCTATTATGCAATGGCCGTGATTTGGCCCCAGATGGTCACAGTACTGTACACCAACGACGGTGGCGCCAGCATGTACGCTGGCCTTCTCGCTTGCGCCCCCACAGCATGCATAAACGCAGGCCAGATCATCTCTGGTATTTTGGCTGCGCCTATTGGGAAGACAAAAATCCAGCTCATTGTCACCGTCATCATCGGCGGCGCGTTCCTTGGCGGTAAGTTGCCCCGAAGTCACACACTTCCTCTTCGCATGTCTAAGAAAAGGTTTAGCCGTTGCTGCTGTAGGTCCGAATGAAAAGGGCATGGCCACTACCTTCATCATTATTTCCTGTCTTGCCATCGGCTGGGTTGAAAGTGTAACACTCTCCCTAGCCGGCATCGAACTGCTTGACCAGTCAGAAATTGGAACAGCTGTTGGAGGTATGCAAATCGTATCCCGTCCTCAACCAAATCTGAAGCACTTGCTGACAAGTATCTTACTCATAGCTGCGGGATCCATCCGCTCCGCAATTTCCTCCCTCGGAAGTGCCGTCTATCTCTCCGTGTTAAGCAACCGCTTGAGCGAGACCATTCCGAATCGTGTTCCCCCGGCAGCCATCGACGCAGGGCTGCCGGCAGTCTCCATTCCCGGACTGCTGGATGGCTTCACCACGGGCGACTTCAGTGCAGTCGAGGGTCTTACAGATAGCATCTTGGCTGCCGCGTCTCGGGCATATCGATATACCAATGCCGAGGCGTACAGTACTGTCTTCTACACCTCCATCGCATTCACCGGCCTTGCCGTCGTTCTGAGCTTCTTCGCCCCTAATGTGGACGACAAGATGACTGGCCAAGTCGCAGTCACGCTCAACAAGGACAATAAGGTGATTAACGAGAAGGGAGTGACTCAGCACGAAGAGGTCTAGGCAACGCTGTTGTGTATCAGTCTCTTCCTCGTCTTCATAGCTTAATATAGAGACTTCTCATATGAGGAATAGTGATCATTTAAATTCTCAAAGAATGGGTTTGTGCAGAGTCGTGATGTCATGCGATCAGGTGGCCAGGCTCTCTTCACTCAATTCTACGCCAAGGGCATCTAGGGAAGTTTGGCAAAGCAGCATAAATGCAAAGTCAACTAGAGCGGTTGGAAGCACTGGTTCTCTAATTTGTTCTGAACGCCTCAGTCTAAAGCTTTGACTTCCCGAATGACTGAGGGTCCCCAAGTGTGAGGTGATCGTGGCCTAGGGTCACATGGATAGGTTGCTGGAGAAACCTGAGATCGTCTCCTACAATGATTCTAGGTCAGTAAAAGTTATTTTATTCTCTCTTGAATTAGTTTTGAGGAACATGATTACTGACCCTCGAGCTGCTTGCTGAGTTCTGGCTCCGTGATAGCATCCAACCAGTCCTGCAGATTGCGAACCCAAATCTCTGCGATGCCGTCGTAGTCGAGTACAGGGAGGCCAAAAACCTCTGCCTGTTTCCTGAGTTCAGGCATAATATGGTACTGTGTCATTCCTAGGGTCAATAAAATGTACGTATTGCGTGCTTAGCGCCAGGCAAAATCTGGGCAGACGGTCTTCGAAATGACCAGTAAGAAGGTGCATGGCTAATAACCCAAAATCTAGTGCTTTGACCTACCTGGTTGTATCTTACGACTTTTTGTTGGAAGTTTCGGTTGGCCACCGCAGGAGCAACATGGTTGTTCGCCCAGTAGGCATGGAAGAAGTCGTCTGAAACGTTTGGGAGTTTCTTCAGGTATAGTGTGATTTTCAACAGCTTTCCGTTTTGCGTCGGAGCGGGCCCGATCGGTTCTTTGGGGATAGATGACTTGGCCATTGTGACTGAAGCGTCGAAGGGCACTGTGGTTCTGGGGTGTGGTTCCTGAGTTGAGGCCAAAAGTCGCTGACAGGCTCCAATCTTCAATTGAGCGTGGTGAAGCAGTGACTAGGTCAGACATATGACTCCAGGTATATTCAGCCTTCTTAATGAAGCAGCGTGTCCAAAACGCGTCTCTAGAAGCTGGATCTACGTTTGAGATGCCTACGGCGGAGCACGTTCGCCGCGACAGTCACTTCAGGATCCGGCGTCCTGGAAAACAATTCGCGAGATACAATAAAGCTAATAAGGTCGCTAGTATTTATCCGACTTTACGCCTCCACATTCCCCGTCGACATGTGCGCGATGCGTTGGAGAATCCTCCCACCCATTTCAGGCTAACGAGTCATGACTTGGGCACGCAGACAGCCACTAGTTGACAACATTTCTGAATCTCTAACAAGAGTATCGGAATGCCTTCTGCGGGGCAGAATTAATTGCCGGTCTTCGGAAACACGATCCGATTGAGCATTATCCCGAAGCTAAATGTACTGGTCAGAGTGAGGGGTCCCGACTCGCAGGTGTGGACAGAGGCTGGCTGTTTACTTGGATGGCTCCGTCTTCTCACTGTCACAGCAGGACCAGGAGCGCCTGCCATCGTTGTCAAGTATTCTTACACCAGAATATCGTATCACAGACATGGCGAGCCAAACGCCAAAGAAACGCGCCGTTGACCTACTAACGGCGGACCAGTTGAGGCGGAAGCGTGAAGGCGATAAGACGGCACAGAGGCAGAGACGAGAGCGGATCCGGGTCCAGATCGAGTTGCTGCAGGACCAAGTCGCCGAGCTTCGATCCCGCAATCGCCTTCTTGAAGAACAATTGGCTAAGTCGATAGCTCCGCCCGCGGTCATCAATGACACAGCCTGCAAGCCAGGAGACACTACGAACTCCGTGCCACCGGCTCTGGTCACCGCGGAGCAGGTAGCCTTGTCTGGGGATAAGACCAGCACATCACCTGCATATGCCAGCGCTACCTCGGATTCAACGTTTTGGTCTGCTTCCGATTCTAACGGGACACTATTGACCGACCTCGACGATCCGACGCCTGCCGAGTCCGCAGACTGGGAAGAAGACCTTCGCTTAAGGCCCAGCATTTTCCAGGTGTTGAACGAGAATCCCCTTGGGTTTGGTACGTGAGATACACTCAGTTCGCGATATACGATCATACACCTTATGCTGGTTGCCAAAGCAGCAAACCATCTTCTGATCCTTTCTAACGAACCCTACCACAGGCTTCACAGTCTGGTCGGAACCTGACTTCATGAGCGACAACGGTCTTGGAGGCTTACCAGTGGAGTATGCTGCCACTGTCGAGTCTGCCTCGCAGAGAGGAAAGTTAAACGTTCCCTACAGCTTGGACAAACGCAAGAACAACGACAGTCAGAGAAGCGCTTATGGCGCCTTCGGCAACCTGAGAAACAGCGATTGCGCCTTAGGCACCGCGACAGCCCATCAGCAGCAACAGCCCCAACTCAGCAGCAGATTTGACAATTCATCAGCTCAAATCGAGCAAAAAATACCGAGCAACCAGGTTTGGGCGACTGTGCCGAAGCATACGGCACCCACGTGTCTCGTCGATCGCGTAGTGATTGAACTGATCCGCCAACGCAGACTGCACGACAATGCGCCCGAGTTTCAAGGACATCACTTCCCTTCAATCCATTCTCTGTTGAATCCTTGCCTCGAAGCACATAATGTCCGCTCTCCAGTCACGTCTAGCATTGTCAACAACATCATTCACGTCACGACGGTGCCGACCCTGCCCGAGCAGATCGCGATACTATACGTCATGTCCTCTGTGATACGATGGCAGATACAGCCTACAGAGGCGCACTACGACGCGATGCCCGCCTGGTTAAGGCCTTGCGCTGCCCAGCTCACTGTTCCACACGCGCCCTGGATCGATTTTATAGCGTGGCCTATGCTGCGAGAGCGGATATGTCGCTGGCCCAAGTTTCATGACCAACACCAACTCATTAGTTCAATATGCAACGAGAGCCTGTCTATAAATTGGCCGTATCGGTCAGAGGACATTGTCCTATACTTTACTAGCGAGGAGGCGGTCTTGAACCCGGTGTTTGACCACCATATCAAGAACATTACTAATTGGACAATTGGTCCAAAGATATTAGCTATGTGAGTGAACCTAGACATTTTTTCAATTCTCTGGTCAAGTCTCTGTGTATCTCTTCTTAAAGGTATTAACCTCGCTCTCTAGGTTCCCCGAGTGTAAAGGGGAGATTAATATTAAACAGCTATTTAGATAGGCTAAGGATTTACTATAAGTTTCTTATATTATTTTTTATATAAAACATAATTATAAGTAATATTAAATAGTTTCTTTATAATAAAAGGAAAAGATAAAGGGTTCTATTTTACTAATAATTAAATGAAAATTAACGGATTAAGTTTTATCAAAGAGTAGCAATCTTATAGGCGTAGGAATAAAGATCGCGACTAATTTAATACTCCCTAGGGAAGGTAAATAGATAAAAGAATAATAATAATAATAATAAATTATACGCCCTTACGGGTGCCTCTTGCTAGCTAGCCAGGCTATCTAGGCTAAGTAATCCTAAGGAAAAATTAAGTAAAAACCTTAGTATAGTCCTCCTCTATCTACTATAGTAAAATACGAAATAAAATACTAGCTTTTATAGTGCCAGTCCTATGCCAGGGCCGATTCCGCCCGCGTATCTGTCGTGATCCTGCGTATATGCTATATTTTGCCGGAATTCAACCGTCGTGGTAGGGTTCCGGGAGGATCCGGCCCGGATTCTGGCTGAGTCAGCCCCCACTACGCGTGGACTTTGTTCACCTACACCCTGCCCCTCTATTTCTCCACGTCTCTTTTTCTTTCTTCTTTACGCTCACGATTAAACATTTCCGCCCCGGATCCGTGTCGCTATCGCCCCAGATCCTCTGTTTTTGCTTGCGGCCTGGCCCGGATTCGCCGTGGCGGGGTGAATTAAGTCGTGATTTCTTGGTGCTTTGTGTGTGTCCGTGTCGTATCCGGCCCGGTACCTTGCGTTCTTCTTGTGTGGTCTTGTGTTTTTGCCCTTGCTTTACTGTAGTCTGTCCTCGATCCGTGTCTTATCCGCTATTCTTCCTCCTGTCCTTGGCCCCGTTTCCGTTCGTTATACGCGAGGTCGAGTTGTCGGGCAAGCTTGAATTGCTCTGGGTTAGCTGTTTTTAAGTAGATAAAAGAATAATAACTTAATATAGAGCTATTTAGCAGTAAGCAAAGGCCTATAGTTATAGGTGTAAGGGCGCTTTGATACCATATAAAGAGCAAATTAAATTAAACATAGCGAGGATAACCCGCTCGTTTTCGCATAGGAAAGACAACCCCTATTAGGACGCTAAGGTGCTGTAGCGGTAGTATATAGGCAGGAAATAGTATACTAAGGGTAGGTGCATATTTATATAAGTATTGTAGAAAAGATTTATATAGAAAGGTCGATATAGATTAGCTTGGAAGGATAGGGTAAGTCTAGGTATATTATATAGAAATAATTATAATATGTAGTACTAAGGGTTGCGGAGAGGTAAAAAAAGAAAGGAAGAAAAAGGACTTAGTATTCTAGTTCGTAGCATAAACTAATAGGAAAACTAAGAATATATTATTTACTCTCCCCTCTATTGATATTAAAAAAAGATCTGTATCCTCAGGCGAAAAAAGGCGCATAAAAAGGATATAATATAAATATAAATATTATCTATCTTAAGGGGAAACTACTAATATTTAACCCCGGAAGTCGCTATATTCGTATCTAACCTATCGTGTAATATGAAGTAAAGTGTAATTATATGCCGGCTATATAAGATATATATTGTCCTTAATAGCCCGGCGTATTAGAAAAACTTTTTATAGATAGAGCTATATTATTCACGCGGCGAACGGATCTAAGGATAAGTTAATATACTAATGCACTTAAAGGTAGATTAAACAAGTAGAAAAGGGATAATTAATTCAAACATCCTTAGGCAGCTAGTCGGTCAGCCTAAATAGGTATAGCGCGGATACTCCTCGGATTATATACGCGTAGCTTGATTAGTTCCGGGGTTATTGATACTATCTTATCGCTATCGTACCTATATATGTACTTGACTATCACGTGACACCTACACATAGCGTAGATATATCTTAGTTAAATAGCTATATAACCTCTAAAGTATATTATAGTGCCGGCTATGTAGAAAATAGTAACTGCCCTTAGTAACTCCCGGTAACGCGTATCTAAGCTAAGGAAATACTCGTCTAGCGATATTGTTACTCGTGCGAATCGTTCGTTCGTTACTATTATTAATGCCTTATTGTTCTATTATTCTACCTACGATCGTGTCTCCGTGTGTTACAGTTCCACTAGTAAGCTAGCGGCTAGGTACAAGACCTAGCCCGGATCACCGAAGCACGTCACGTATACCTACGAGAACGCACGGGTCCCGTAGCGTACCAACAAGTACGGAGCCCGCAAACTTTACTTTCCCCTTTCCTCTTTACTTTATCGTTAGATAGATTTAATCTAAGCTACTAAGTTATTTAAATTAGGCTTAGCTTATAATATATCTAACGATCTATCTTATAACGTAACGTTATTAATAAGCGAACCGCCTAGGCAAGCGAACCGCTTACTTCCTAAATCCCTATAATAAGATCTTTAATTAAAATATAATAGATTATTCGATTAGTTTAAACTAATCGCTATACTTATCTCTAGATACCTCTATCTTACCCTGATATATTTATGAATTATAGCCGGCTTTCCTATATATACTATAATGCCTTAGAGCTAGCTATACCGACGTTGCCCGACTACCTCTCCTTAATGATTTAGCTACTAGCTACGAATCTATATCCTTCTGATTAATTAATACTCGACCTTCCTTTACTATTATAGTCCCTCTATTTCGTAAGCGGGTCTTTTTCTCTCTCTAGGGCTAGCTAAGGATATAGTTAGTATCTCGAAGATCCCGGACCTTTATCCTTAATAACGCTATCTCGTACTAATATACCTTTAAACCCTTAACGTGGTCCACTCCTAAGCGACGTATACCCCTAACCGACGCACTTTTCTACGCGTCGTATATTTCTATCTTATATATAGTATTCCTCTATAACTAATAATAGTAACCCTTTATAAAAAAAGCTAGATTATCCTAATAATTAAAGTTATTCGGTACGATAAAAGACTTAACGTTAGCCGTTGGAAAGCTATAGTAATCTATAGAGTACCCGAAGCTATGCTCCGCTATAAGATAAATAAATAAGTACTAAAGCTCGAGTTATATTATATAGTTTATTAATTAATAGTTATTAAAGAGTAAGTAATTATTCGATATATATTAGACCTAGATACGCGAGGATTCGCGCCCCGATATACTAGTATTAAAAATATAGCTAATTTATTACTCGCGGGACGCGATAAAGGACGCGATAGTAAGCACTAAGCCGAGAAGTTTATTAAACAATAACTAGAACTTAAGACGTATTTTAATCGCGTATATAACTTTTAGAGAGCCCTTTACGAAGATCTAGAGCTTATTCGCGCGTAGTTTAAGCTTATATATAATATAAAAGCGAAGTATAGTATCTACGATTATAACTTCTATAACTTCGATAAGACCGGCTTTATAATAAGCGTTATCTATATATCTATAGTAATAATACGCGCCGATCGATATAGAAGAGTTAAGGTAGTTTAGCTTAATAATTAGGAATAAGCGACGGTAATTAAGTATATTAATAGCGAAAGGTATTACCTCCCGTTATTTCTTATTATTTAAGGCGCGTACTACCTCGCTAACTAGTATATATAGGGCGGCCTCTTACTAGACTAAGCTATTAAACTTACTTTTAATAGGTAGATAGATAATAAGACCGGCCTTAAATAAATTAAATATTTCGATAAGTATATAAAATCTTATATAAAGGGTATATATTAAATAATTATACTCGATAGGTATAAGAGCTACTAGTTAGCCTAGTTTAAACCCTTTTATAAAGAGAATAATATTATTATTATTAGCTTACTTACTTACTAATCTTATCTAACCTAGCTACTCGATATTAGGTATTTTAGTGCCTTAAAGAAAGTATATAGTCGGGAAATCGAGTACTTTATTAGAGCGTATATTAACTATATTACTAAAGTCGAGTTCTTCCTCGCTTTTAAAGCCGCCTACTTTACTATTATAATAGAGAGTAATAATAAAGGAGATTTTAAAAATATAGGCCTAGTACCTTTCGACCCTAAAGCTATAATATCTAAGCTAGATATTAAGTTATAGACGCTAATACTAACTAGTCCCCTTTCCGTAACTACCGATCCTTAGTACTCCTAGACGCTATAGAACTTAATAAAGGTAGTCTTATAATCCGAATATATTGAAAATCGGATTACCTATTATTAAAGAAGCTTATTAATACTTATTTTTATTATTATTAACTAACTTACGAAAGGGATATAAGTATTAGCGCACTCGGTTACCCTTATAACGGCTAAGATATATATATTATAGAAAATAAATAAAGTACTTAGTAAGCGCCGGAGGGCTAAGAAAATATATATATATCTTAGAGGATTAC